CGCAAAGGATGTCAAAAATTGGATTATACAGAAAAAGATTAAGATTCTTCCAGATTGGCCTTCTCAATCTCCAGATCAATCCTATTGAACATTTGTGGCATGAACTAGAACGGAGACTTCGAAAATGATTGGGGTATCCAAAAGATTATATGAGCATTGCAAGAAGAATGGAAAAAATTCCATCCGAAACTTATATTAATTTAATTGAAAGCATGTCACGTCAGATAGAAGCATGTATTGAAAATCAATGATAGCCAACTAAATATTAAAAATTTATAATATTTATAATAAAATATAATTTTTAAATTGATTGACCGGATACTTTTGATAGGGTAGTGTATTTAGAAATTTTGTATTATATTAATTATTATTGATGACTCGAATTCTATAATCATTCCTTACTAGAATCAGCTAATATTAATAAGAATTTAATGATTTAATCAGGCGGATAAAATGCAAAACGCGTACTTATAATAATCAAAAGTTTAATCAGATTTAAGACGCGTTCGTATAGCTTGACAAAGTTAATTTTTAAATAATATATAAAACTTTTCAAAAAGCCGTCTTTTCACTCATAATAATAAAAAAAAATGTCTAATATCTTTATAAATATCAACGAGCTTCCTTTCACTAATAGAGAAAGAACCGAGCTACGTACTTTTTTTGCTTACAACGACACAACTAAGGTAGAAGAAATTCTTTCAATGATTACAGAAGAAGTTGAGAAAGTTGAATTCTTGAGGAGATACGTCAGCAAATCAAGAGGTAAGCCTTTACACCATAGTGATTGTTTATGATATTGTCTTGTCCAGTAACTAACTTTGGTCAACTCGAACGTGACGCGCTAACCTTTTTTGTTATTTATTTACTGCACAGAGGGTTCCACAAAGAAACGTCGAATAGAAGAGAGTCAGAAACCATATATTGCCTCTGATAGACATTCTGTGAAACTGCCATCCCAAATCATTAACATCCTTAACAGTAGCGAATTCGTACCTGAACCGCGCACAAAGTTTACAGCCGTTCTACAAAATCTTGAAGTAGGCCAAAATATTACGCTGCTGAATTTTGGCCAGGAGCCCAAGCACTTTGCACTGGGCTACCAGAGAAAGAAACTCTTTGTAACAAATCAAATAATAGATATGTGGAGCCTGCTTTCAAAAGATGATGGAAACTCAATTAAGCGTGTCCTATTGGAACCCATGGGTGTGGAAAAGTCGTATCTCGCATTTTTTCTTGCGGCGAAAGCCTACTCTAAAGGATGGCTGATGCTTTATATTTCAGACGCGGCAGAACTTATTAAACCTTCAATGGAAATGGCATCGAAAGAAATTTGTAAGCGTTTTCTGGCAATCAACAAAGACATTCTAACCGCTAACGAGCTCAAAGGATTGGTAGAATTTGTTAGTGAAGATGATGTTTTTGTAACCTGTACCTCATTAATTTGGGACCTGCTCAAGCAAAAAGATCGTAAAACTCTCTTAGTAGTTGATGAGCATGGTGTATTGTTCAACCTTGATCCTCCAGTGCCTGATCGTCTTATCATCTTAATATCTTTGAAGTATCTCAACTTTTGGGGAGAGAAAGCAGCAGGATCGCGTGTGATATTTGCTGGTACTGCACATGCCAAGTTCGAGAAAACTTACCTGATTAATGACATGCATAATTGGTGGGTTGAATATGTTTGTTCTCTAACGGAAGAAGTTTTTGATAAGCTGCTGGACCTTCATCCTTTCCTGAAAAAACCAAGTATTGCACCAAAAGTGAAAAGAATTGTCAACTGTGTTCCGCGCAAATTTATATATTTTGCTGAATACGTGAAAGACTCATCTAGCAACTATGTTCCCGATGAAAGAATTGATATATTACTAGAAAGCTTCCAAAATGATTGACATGATGAATTTTTGAAAGCTGTAAGGAGTTATCTTAGTACACTTGATCACGGCTCCAGAATGGATTATCACAGATCTCTTTCTAACATGTTTCTAAGATCGTCAGACATGAAAATCAATGTAAGCTTCGACTGGAAATTCTTAGACACTGGCCTAGTATATCGGTTTAGAGATCAAGATAATCGTGTAAAGTTTAAGCCACTGTGTCCAGCAGCCTCAGATGCTCTTTTGAACATATATCGTACTTTTCCATTGCCAGAAGATATTAATGTTACCTCACTTAAAAATGGGAAACTCACTGGTGATAACTTCGAGAAGATATTGTTTTAACAGCTGTTGAATCATCGTGATGTACTTTTCAATGCAACAAACCTGTGCGGGGAACAAGTAATGAATGTACATATCAAATTCCAGCACTTTTTTGTACTTGAGAAGAATCAGCTCGCCCCTGAATCGCGGCATGTAAATTCACTAATTCGTGATTATGCACGTTATCCGCAGTTCGATTTTATGATTGGATACTTATTTATCCAAGTGTCTGTAAGCCCTTTCGATCAACATAATAAGGAATCCGCAAATATTAACAAAGCATTTGAACGATACTGCAAAGAAGGCAATGATTCAAGAAACCAGATAGAGTTGTATTTGGATACGACATTTGGTGGTCAGCATACGGCTTTACACATAAATGGCAAGTTTGTCATTCTTAAAAATAATATCCCTATTGCACAAGACTTCCGAATTGTTTATATGTGTGGCAGTCCTGTTTCTCTTAACCATACTCGCTTAGTTAAAAAATATCAAGATGTAGCGTTTATCTCTTATGAAGAGATAAAGTCTAAGCTCTTAGGTAATTTTTTGAAAAATTGAAGCTTTCTTTTTACCGTTAAAGTCTAATTCTACTGTCATTTATTTTAAAACCAATACCTTATCTATTAAAGCTACATTCACTGATGTGTATTTTATAAATTATTAATAAAAACAATCATATTTGCTTGTATTCAGAGTTGTAAACAATAAGAAAAGTTTACGGTAGTTTTCATACGTAAACGTATTTTCTTTAACTCCATATTTATTGTGGGGACATTTAGGATTCCCATCTATATACAAAAATTCCCAGAGGATCAAATAAAGTATACCAAATTCTTTACAATTATGAAAAGTCAGTTTATATACGTCATGCCACAAACTGATTTACAGTATATGCATGTAAATATAAAATTAGCACAGGCAAGGAAATCTCTATTTGGCAATAGAATGTCATTCAACCGGAAGGATAGCTGGGCTAGTTGAGGTCAAGAAGGCAATGTTTTGCGCAAACTACCATACAGATGGAATCATCGTTGACATGTCGTAAACGCAAGGCAAATGAAATCAATGAATGTGATATGGATAAAGTATGGGGATCGTAACTGATGCAGAAAAATGGAATGTACGTATGTGAGAAGAAAAAGCCAGTGTTTAAGCTATCGGAACTCATGATCGTTTTATACGATGATGAAAATTTCGAAACTAAGGTAGAAAAGGTCTTTAGTCATATTGTGTGGTTGTTGAAGAAGGCGCAGAAGCTGGTGGAAGTTTCGATGGGCAAACAAGGCATCCGAAAAAATAAGGTTAACAGGTAATCTTGTGGGAGAGTCAGGTTAGAATAGGGTTTAGGATAGCAAACATTCGATATGTATATTAGTCTGCAGTTGAAAGCTATGTCTCGAACGTTTGTATTTATTTTTTTGCATGTATTGATAAAACGAAAATTTTACATTTGACATGATTGTTATTATTTTTTATATACGAAGGGAAATGTTCAATTTTATGTGGCAGATAATGAAACTAACCCATCTGAGCTTGAAGTATTGAAACAGCATTTTACTGAACTTGAGATTGAGAATGCTAAGAAAGCCGAATTTGAGACCAAAAAAGTCGAGTTTCTAAAATCTACCAAAAAATATTACACAGATTTTGAGGGTTATATACCACCTTGAGAGTATTGAGGATTTAATTCTTGAGATCAAATGCTCAGAACGCAAAAATAAATCAATTATAGAAGAATATGAAAAGGAACTGGAATCCAAGAAAAATCGCAAATTTCAGATTAGATGTATCCAGATAGCTAAGGCAATTCTTCATGAGAAGCCGATAATTGAGTATCGCCCTCTTTCATGCAAGGATTAGAGCTTGATAACTTCTTCCAAAAAATATCAAATTGCATTGGAAGTACAAGGAACTCAACATCAACTTCATAATACTAGCTGGTATAAGGATATCAAAAACTCGAGAACATTGTCAGCAAAAAAGATGCATTTGTCAAAATAATGAAATTTTCCTTTTTGAGGTATGGTATGATCAAAACCCAAAAATTGTTATTCTGAAAAAGATATGAAAAATTAAGAAGTTCATTAATTAAGCATCCAGAAGTTTCGATCTCTTGTAATCTATAATAACCTTATAATAGATCTTGAACCTAAATGATGTGTGGTAACATAAGATAATGCCGTAATATGTCATATGAAATATCCTTAGATGCATATAACATAGCTTATTATTTTCATACAGTAAAACCTCTATAAGTGCATTCTCTATAAATGCATACTCTATGTAAATTCTCTCTAAATACACAGTAGGCTTTTGTTCTAACTCATAAGAGCTCTTAATATTTTATTCTTTATAAATGTACACCCTCTCTAATTGTACATTCTGCTATTTTTTATTATGATCCCAAGGGGAGTACACTTATGAAGGTGTTACTGTATCTCTTTCACTCTTTCATCCTTCATATTTTGTTCTATTCTTTGCAAGTTTTTTCCCTATATCAAATGAAAATTAATCCAAGAACTACTATCCAAAATTTATTATCATGGTAGGTATTTTTTGTCCTCATTCTCTAATAATACCCTAATAATGATCTGAGCTATATTACATATCAGATTATTGGGATAGGCCAAACTCCAGTTGGAAAAACAGAGATTGCTACTATTACTGCAAAAACCTAAAAGCAACAGAATGCAAATTGCATAATGCTTTGGGAAACAAATTAAAAATATTGATCCAGAATCTGAAGGAAGATTCAAAAGAACTCAAGAAAACACATTTGATGCAGTATAATTTAAAAGTCAGTATTCTCGCATATTCTTATAAGCAATAAATATGCTACACCTGATGTGCTACACCTGATACTGCTGGTATAGAAGAAGATGTGCCCAAACGCATACAGTTTTAACTTACACCCTGTGGCATGTATAGTTTCTTTAATTAAGGTCTATTTGATTAAGGTCTACTAGTTCTGGAGGAGGAATTGGTTATGTACCTATGTATCTTTCTTAAATTGCTTATTATGAATATTATTGATTGCATTAACTCTGACTGACAATTGCCTTTTTCATATAGAAATCCACAAAACAAAAACGAAAAGTTAAAGGAAAGAAAACCTTAATCTAACATCTTCAGATATAACTCTTGTTTGCCTTATTCAAGAAGATCCACATATAAACACTTTTTTCCGTCAATATTAACATTAACAAACTTGTTTATTATCTCAAGAAAGCTATAAAAGATAAAAAGTCATTTGAATTTGACGGCTTTGCTTCAAATAAACTCAATCTAAGAAAGATAAATATCTGCAATGATAGTGATGAGTTATCAAATCTTACACTTCATAAGTATGAAAATCTTAAAGCATTGAGAAAAAGAAGAAAGTTAAATTAAAACAGCCCCTAATCACCAAATGTGTAGTTCAGCCTTCTTCAACTTGAAAATTATGGGTGTCTATGGCTCTCAATTTTGGTTTCTCTTGGTCTGATTTTTTAGCTTGATACTGATGTATCATTTGAATTTCTTGGTGATAAATTAATCATTTATTATATTTCATTTGGTTCTTTTAGAGGGAAATTTTGGTAATTGGTCAATCTAAATGGATTTATAATATAACTACAAAAATAGTCATAATTTTATTTTTATTGTTTTTACTTTTATTTTTATTTTAATCATTATAATATAAATTAATAAACATATGACAATACCATATCGTTAAAAAAAAAAAAATAAAAATAAAAAAATAAAGCATCAAAAAAAATAGAAAAATATTTTACTAAAGAACCTACTGAAGAGCATGTTCATGTAATAGTCTCACTACTAGCACTTACAAGCACATCGAGTCAAGAAGGTATATATGCAGATGATTTTGATATTATAGTTGTTTAAACATGTAATGAGAGATTCTTATTTACAGTTAATTTACTTTTCAAGGTCATGGTATTCAGAAATGACATAAAATTAATATTCAAAATGAGAATCTTCAAAGGGTATTGACAATGAAAGTTTTTTATTGACTATCCAGTCTCATCGTACAACTACAATATATTAACTACTATAATTTATAATTTCTAATATTAAATTTAACCAATCCTCTTGTTCCTTTTCTAAATCTTTTGTTGGATAATCAATTTTATATTTCAATATTTTATTCTGTAAATATAATAAAATAATAATCAATAATTAAATTAAAGTGTTATTATTGAAAACTTATATATGTACTTACCAATTGATATCTCATATATTTTAATATGGTAGAAGTTTTACCAGGACATTTTAATCTAATCCATTTATCAATTATCAATAATTTATGCTCATGCTATATGAATAAAAAAAATTTTCAAATATTCAAATTTTATGTTAATAGAAACATATAATTTATAGGTATCTACTTACCTTAATCTCAATATCTTTTCCAAATAAAATCATGTCAACAATTTTAATCTTGTTAACATCTCTAACATATAATTTAACAGTTTGTATTAAAGTATTATAAACAAACCAATTCCTTTCATTAATTTGATTCTTTTCTTTCAAGTTCGATGTAGATGATTTCTTGAATGCAATTGAAGATGGATGAATAAAAACTCTTTGTAGATTTTCTTTTTCACTAATTAATATTTTACTATTCAATATAGTAAAATATTGATTTGTAGAAGGATCTTGATAAATTATTTTTGGATATAATCCTGCTAAAGTTACTGCATTAATTATAGCATATGAATTACTATTTTGATTATAATCCGATGGAATAATGCAAAGTGATCGAGATTTTTGAAATCTAAATCTAAATATTAATTTCATAACTTCTTTATATATATATATATTTTTTAAAAAACAAAAAAAATCTTTTGATAATTTTGACCAACCTGCTTAAGTCTTTTTTAATTGATTCATCTACTTTAACAAATCCAATATTGACCAATAATTCCAAGAATTGTTTTTTAATATCTTCAATCATTAGCAAACATTGTAAACTTAATAAATTCTTTTCACAAAATTCTCTAATAATCTTCCAACCTCTTCCATTTGCTTTTTTTTTTATAACAACTTTATCATATAATTCTCTCCATGAAATATAACCTTTATACATTGTTAATAAATCTGACCCATCTTCTTTAAATTCATTTTTAATATCGATATTAGATTCACCAAATGATATTAAGAATGGTGATTTATAATTAAGTATTGCTGATATTGTTAATATTGGATCAAGGCATTTAAATATTGATCCAAATAATATCATTTTTCCAAGATGAACATCTACTGGCATATGTGATAAATGTACTCCTAATGGTGTTAATTCCTCTTCTGCTGTTAATGCTTGTACCTATTTATATTTTATATATATATATATATATATATATATATTTTTTAAAAAAAAAAAAAAGTTTAATAATAAAAGAAAAATTTACTTTACGTAAAAAACATCCATTTGGTTAATTAATATAATATGAATACCTCCTGTAAAATAGTTATAGCATTATTAATAGCTTTAGATGCAGGCGCATCTATTGCCATGTTTAAAACTTGTTCAATTTTTCCTAACTCACAAATTTTAATTTTTAGACACAATTCTTGCAATGGTAATCTCAAAATTTCTGGTAATTCAAAATCGACCATCTATTAAAAAATTTTAATAAATATCAATTTCAAGTTAAAGTATTAGCAATAACTAACATCGTTACCTCATCATATTTCCATTTTGTAAATAAATGAAAACAAATTCCTTCTCTTACTCTACCAGCTCTACCGTTTCTTTGCTTAACGTTAGTTTTTGATATAAACATTTCTTGTAAGTTAATAATCTTTTTCTTTTCATTATATCTAATTGTTAAATAAATATAAATATAAATATAAATATAGATCTTTTTAAGTTTAACCAAAATTCCTCACCTTATCTGATTAACTTTTCCTGTATCAATAACAATGGTAACATCGGAAATAGTAATTCCCGTTTCTGCAATATTAGTTGCTAAAACAATTTTTCTAACTCCTCTTGGAGGTACATCAAATACCATATTTTGATTCTCTGAGCTTATGGTACTATGTAATGGATAAACCAAAAATCTTGATGTATCACTAAAATTTCTATCTGATAACATTTGATCGTGTAATCTTCTAATTTCTGCCATTCCGGGTAAAAATATTAGTATAGCCCCATCTTCTGGTATATAATCATTTCGTTGCTGTGCTTCAGAATTATTACAAATATAGTTCAAAAGAAAAACTATAAGATCATAGTTTATGCATGTTTCATCAATACGTGATAAAACTAATCGGGTATTCTTTGAATATTTTTCTAGATCTTCTTCAGGAATATTTAAATCTGTGTATGAATTGTCATAATCTTCTTCATACTGCAATCGAACTGTGTGTGAAGTTTGCCTATTTCCTGTAATTGTCACCGTTCCTTCATCTTTAAGAATGAAAAAATTTTAAATTAACGAGAAAGAAAAGTGTAGAATTATAAATATGAATTATTATTTACCTCTAATTTGTCTATAAACTTTCTTTGCAAATTCATCATCTTCATCAATTGTGTAACCTATTCATGACAACCATAAAGACTAAATATTAATATATTAATATATTTTTTACAAAAAGGAAAAAAAACTTTATAATTACCTGTTTCTTCGATGACATCTTCAAGAAATTTAACTTTAACGGGAAAGGTTCTTCCAGGTATTTCAATTACAGGACAATTATTAAAGTAATTAGAAAATTTTGATGTATCAACTGTTGCGCTCATTAATATAATTCTATAATATTAAATTTTTTTAAAAAAAAAATATATAATTATATTGATTAAAATAAATTTTTAAAAGTTTTTCTTAAATAAAAAAAAAAAAATTTTACTTCAAATCACTCCTCCATTCCAATATTTTTTTCAAAATAATTAACAAGAAATCTGAATCCAAACTTCTTTCATGCACCTCATCAATAATTACATGACTGACGTCGTCTAGTAATTTATCGCTCTCTAATCTTTTCAATAATATACCCTACCAAAAAAAAAATTATTAACCTTCCATTTTTGTATAAAATTTGTTTTGAAAGTTTATTAACTTACATAAGTACAAAATGTTAAAATGTTTGCTTTAGAAGTTTTTGATTCTAATCTAATTTGATATCCAACTAATGCTTTAAAAGTTCCAAGAGTTCCTGGTAAATCACCGATTTCTGCAGAGACTCTGTGTGCTATTGAGATTGCTGAAATTCTCCGCGGCTAATTATAAATAAAGTTTATTAAATTGATTTATCAATTATAAACAAAAAAGCAATAAATACACACCTGGGTACAAATAATATTACACTTGTTTCCATGTCCACTCAATAACATATGTTCAGCTATAAATTGTGGTATTTGTGTGCTTTTACCACTGTTAAATTTCCAAAATAGACTTAATAAATCAAATACTTAAACAAAAAAAATATGTGTTGATTATTTGTTAAAGATTACCATCCAGTCTCTCCAGATATAACAATAATTTGATTCCTATCCAATATCTTTAAAAATTCATTTCTCCGTATATAAATTGGTAATTGTTTTCTTTTATCCTATATCATTAAAAAGTTTTTTTTTTTTAATTAATATTAATATTGATATTATTTAAGTTATTACAAATTTGTTGTCATACTAAATTACTTACTAACATATCCTTATATGCTTTATTTTTTTGTCTATTTAAGAAAGCTTTCACCATAGCTTCACCTTCACTAATAAATTTTTTTGCATCATCTTGATTTATACTGGATACATGATTTTTATGAACGATGTTTTGTTCTTGATTTGACTCTTCAATCGAAACTTTAGATAAATTTCTTTCTACCTAAACAATATGATTCAATAAATAACTTGTAATTTTTTAAAAATAAAAAATATAGACCATGGCTATAACTTACAAAGTTTTCTTTCTGCTTTTTCTCTTCCACCACGTCAATCAAGAACTTTATCCTTTCTTTTTGTTCAGCTAACTTGATTTTATTTTGAGCAGATTTTTTTTCATTTTCCAATTCTAACCATAAATCTCTAAAACAAGAAGGAAATGCCGTATATGTTGGGAGATCTGTTAATTCAAACAATACTAAAGTAGAAATATAGTTCTCCGCTTCTATCTTGGTTCGACATGCAACATTTTCCATATTCCATTCTTTTTTATGTCCATCACTCCACTGAATCGACAAAAAGTATTTATAAAGAGTTTCACCACTCAATGTTTTATCCTTAACAAAACTAATCTTTACTTGGCTATCTTTACTTAGGCAAAATTCTTGTAAATAATCTTTAGGTAATCTTCCTGTATATTTATTAGGTAATGAAATCTCTCTAATTGTTAATGAAGTATGAGATGTATTAGAAGTAACTGAATTGTCCGGAACATTATCCAGTAATCCACCAAATAAATCTTCATCTTCGCCATCACTTCTTTCTTTCATTGTAATCTTTTCTTGATCCTTTGCTTCCATTTTATCTTCATTATAATCTCGTTCTTTAATATTCTTATCTTTTTCAATGTCATCATCCAAGATTTCTTTGGCTTCTTCATCTAAATCTTTAAATTTAATTAACTTATTAAATTCTACTCCAGCTTCTCTCTTATTAAATTCATTATCTGTCTCACAAATTTTCATTTCTTCCTGTAATTCATTAATTCTTTGAAAAGTTTGTCTTTGTTTAATTTGATTACTATTTGATTTCTCTAAAACAGACAAAACTTTCTTTTGTAGAATTAGTTCACATTTTAGTTCAGCATGTTTTGTTGTTGGAGATAATGTTACCACAGGTTCGGGTCCTGAATCATCTGATGCCTAAGAAATGACTTAAAATATAAGTTAAACAGGAAAGACAAATAATAAATAAGAATAAATCAAATATTATACATCATTTTGATATCGATCCAAAATCCATTCCTTAAGATTTTTTTCAATTTCAATAGATGATTTTTTCATTTCCTTATTATTTCTCTTTTGTTTGTAAAGAAAAAAATTCAATTCATTTATATTTACAATATAAATTAATAAAATAAAAGACTAAAATGTTATTTCTTATAAAATAGTATTGAACCTTAGAGACTACATCTTCTTTCTTTATTTGTGATTGATTTGATTCTAATAACTTTGGGGTTGTTTGTCTTATAGCTGAAACATTCATCTCTTTGAATTATTAAAGAAATAAATCGTTAATAAGTTATTAAAGAATACATTTTGAAATCAGAAACAAATTAAAATTAGCTGCCTTTTTCATAATAATATTTATCGACAAATCTAGCTGGTAAATTTTCCGAGGGTAAATGAATGCACAGCTAAATTAAAATAAATAAAGTAACTTAACATGGAAAATATATATATATATATATATATATATATATATATTAAGTTTCGATTGATTGTATTTACCCAATCTAAGGCATCTTTAACATCCATTACATTGGTTTTTCTTAAACAATCTTTAATATTTTTTTGTGAGAAGCCGAGACGTAATAAAATTAAATAAATCCTATTTAAAGTTGAGATTATACGCTCTCGAGTCAAAAGATTATCAGCATACAAATTCGTAGATGAACCTAAATAATAACATATATTATTAGAGATAAAGTTTCAAACTTATATATAGAGAAAAAAATTTTTTTCCCCGTATACTTACCTAATTCTTGATATCCCACTTCTTTAATAAAGTTTAATATCTTATGCTCAATCTTACTATCAAGGCCAAAAACTTGCATTACGTTATCATTAAAAGTTCGAGAATTTTTAAAATAATCTTCAACTTTTATTGAATCTAAATCATTATAGTTCTCAATTAATGAAATAATGTAAGATTCTTCTTCATTAACATTTTCTTCGATAATGTCAGTTTCAATTGGCTCGAGAGAAATTATTGGTTCTTTTGTTATTAAAGAAGCTTGAGATTCAATTTCATGTTTTAAAATTTCTTTATTTTTTGAGGGTGTACTTGTCGTAGCATACCCTCTTGTATTTTTCTTCTTCTTTGATTTAGGCATATTAAAAAAAAATTTCTCGATTTGGAAAATTAAAACCCGACTTAACGCAGCAATAAAATTTACAGCTAATTTCTTAAGTCACGGGACAGCCAATAATAACCGAGACTTTTCCGAGAACATTTATAAGGATTTGGAAAAGCCAACCACATCTATATATGGATAAAAATTATGTCTGAACGTAAGCGATTAATGTTTTTTCTTCAAAAAAAAATTCTATACCGAGTTTTTTTATCGATCTGCAAAATGATCGTCCATCCCGTGATTTTTGAAATTACACTGTGCATGATTTTACTTTGACATAATCGGACTCGTGAAAAAAAAAAAAAAAAGAAAAAATTCGGATCACGTATTTTTGAATCATTTGTATCGTAATAAATTATTCATAAGTTCTTAAATATATCATTAATAACAAAGCTAATTTTAATGACATGTATACTAATATGATTCATCTATTTTTTTCTCATGTAATATTATGATCCGTCATAAAAAAAGAAAAAATTTAATATAGTAACTGTAATGAATAATAAAAGATCATAGGTCATGCTGTTAGAATTACTCAGAAAGTTTGCTATTTCAAAATCAATAAAAAGGCATCGTCTTCGCATAATCCTTCCCTCATAAACTTTCTTGTCTCTTATTAAGACAAGATCTATCCATCTTCCTTTAAATCCATTGCATCGATAATTAATCTCCTCCCTGTTATATACATTATAATTGATATTATAAAATCTTTAAGGTATCTATCCAATCCATTCTTTCACGATTTGTATAGGAAAAACATATCATTCTCAAAATGTCAAAACGAGGTTTCTCGACGAGTTCACAAATTAATCTAGAATTAGAGGTCAAGAAAGTTAAACCTTTGGATATTAAAGTTGCGGTTGAGTTGCAGATTGCCAACCGTCCTGGCCTTGGACAAGTCGGAAAACCTATAAAATTGAATGCGAATCATCTAAAAGTCGCTACGTTGCCCCAAACAACCTTATTCCATTATAATTTTGTTGTTGAGCCATCAGTCAGGCCTCCACTTGCGTTTAAGATCTTTTCGACTATGGCTTTTCAGAATCATTTTGGTGACGTCATGCCCATCTATGATGGAAATAGTTCCATTTATTGTCTCTCACCGTTACCTTTTAATGATGAAGGGGAAATCAAGGAAGTATGTGTCAGTGTTCTGTAAAAAATGAATTTGAGTTAACTTCACTATTTCACTATATTATAATTAATTTTTAGGTCTCACTTGAGGCGGATGGTTCTCGTAGGAAAAAAACATTTCACATTACTATTCGAAAAGTTGATGATGTCAATATGGAAAGTTTATCGAATTATCTTAAAGGCTCCATTCCATTAACCGGTGAAATTCAAACTTGTATTTCAATATTAAATACTGTATTGAATTATAAACCGAGAAATGCCTTTGCTGTTGTTAAGCGAGGCATTTTCCCGGAGTCTGAGGATCGACCGAGGTACTTGTTCGGAGGTCTTGAATTGAAGACAGGTTTCTGTCAATCAATGAGACCTGGTTGGGGTAAGTATTTTCATTCATTTAACAAAAGAAAAAAGATTTAATGAATTCAAACTTTTACTAGGACATATGACTATAAATGTTGATATATGTGCAGCGGTTTTTTATCCTCATGGTTCCATGTTGGACTATGCCGCAAAAATTTTGGGCAAACGTAACATCGACGAATTAAGATTTGGAATCAATGATAACGAGCGAAGAAATCTTGAACGCGTAATTTTCTAGATTATTAAAATACAACAGTTATACTTTGTATAAATAGTTAACTTATATATTAAAAATATAATATCTTTTATTTCTTTTATTATTGTCATATAGGGTATGAAAGGACTAAAGGTCAAAGCTATTCATCGAGGAGAGAAAAATCCAAAATACAAAATCGAACGCCTATCAAGTAAAGCCGCGGATCAAATCACATTTATGAATGATAAGGAAGGCGTAGAAATGAGTGTGACTGATTATTTTGCGCGAACATATAATCGCCATTTGGAGTTCAAATCTCTTCCTTGCATAGTTGTAAAGAAAAACTTGTTTATTCCAATGGAGGTCTGCATCGTCCTACCTGGTAGGTATATTAGGTACTTTTTTATCATGCTTCGATTTTACTTTTAGGTTTTAATAATATCCTCCTTTATAAATATTTAAAGGTCAAAAGTATGATAAAACAATCGGAGATAGAGCCAAAGCAGACATGATCAAATTTACGGCCTGTAGGCCTCAAGAACGTTTCGGTCAAATAGAGAATTGTATTCGAAACGTTTTTAAACATGATGACGATGAAAATCTTCGTGATTTCGGAATTAATATCGATCCCAAGATGATGATTATTGATGGTATTCTGATTCTTTCTTCTTATGTTCTTCAATTACATGAATTAATATACTAGGTCAATTTAATTTTATTTATATAGGAAGAATTTTGAAATCTCCAACAATAATGTTTAATGCTAATAGTAAACAACAAAATCAGTTTATTTCTCAAAATGGACGTTGGAATCTCAGAGATCTTGTTTTACTTAGAGTAAAAATTTTTTTTTTTCCTTTTATTCTATTTATAGAATCGACAAATTTGTTGATCCATTTGTTTTAAATCTCTTCATAGACAAAACCATTGCACAACTGGTCGGTCCTTATTTTGTCTGACAGAAGGATATCTCCTATTGATCAAGTGAAAAGATGTATGTCAGGATTAAAACAAAAATTGATCGAATTTGGAATGGTAAATTAAATCTTGAATTTCTTTAATCCTATTAATTTTCAAAAGAAAATTCAATTATACCTTTCAATTATTAGGAAGTTCGAAATGATCCTTATGTAAATTATGGAAATCAACAAGGGAATATTGAAGCTGTAAGTAAAATTATTATTCTTTACTATATCAAATATTTTCATTTCATTAATTCCCTTATGATTTAAATTTATTATTTTAAGTCAATACAAATTGCTGTTCAAAAGGCCCATATCAATAAATCATTTCCACCTCAGTTAATAATTGTGATTATTCCAAGAAAACCATCTCCACTTTATGGCGAAATTAAAAAGATCGCCGACACTAAAATTGGAGTCGTAACTCAATGCATTCTTGCCGACAAATTGCGTAATCCGAACAACAAGTCTCTATGGGCAAATGTTGGATTAAAAATCAATGCCAAGCTAGGCGGACACAATTGTAATCTCATTAAAGATGAACTTTCAATTATAGGAAATGTTCCTGTAAGTACATGAAGTAATTTGAATTTATTTATTTGTTTTGAAATATTATATTTTGTTTCATTTTTTTTTTTTTTTAAAATTTTTGTTTTAGACGATGATCGTTGGAGCGGATATTTCTCATCCTGGAATTGGACAAAAGAATCAACCCAGCATTGCAGCAGTTTGTGCATCCGTTGAACCAAGTGCAACAACTTATTACGGCAGAGTGAGTGTCAACAAACAAATCCGTAATGAAACAATAGAATGTCTTGGAGATATGATATCCGATCTATTAAAAGCATTCTATGAGAAGAATAAAGTTCTTCCAAAAAGAATGATTTTTTATCGAGACGGTGTAAGTGAGGGTCAGTTTCGCGGAGTGCTTAACAGAGAAGTAATTGCGTTGAAGAACGCATTTAATAAAATTTATCAAAAGGAACCTCCCAAATTAACTTTTATGATAGCACAAAAGAGGCATCATACCAGGTATGAAAAAACGTTATAATTATTCTTAAATTCTCTTAATTTTTTTTGGTTTTAATAAAAATCATTTTAGATTTGCTCCAGTAAATAGAGGAGATGCGGATAAACTGGGAAATTGTACCCCTGGAACTGTCGTAGATCAGTCAATCGTTCACTGTAATGAATTCGATTTTTGTAAGTATTTTGATTAAAAAAAAAAGAATTTGTAGTTTTTGTGGATTTTAATAATTTATTTTGTATATCAATAGATTTGCAATCTCATTCTGGACTTCAAGGAACAACACGTCCAACTCATTATTATGTTTTGTATGATGAAAATAAATTTGACGCCGATGATATTCAGAATTTAACTTATCGATTAAGTTATCTTTACGCTAGGTAAAAATATGAACGAGATATTATGTGATAATTAAATATGATGTTAATGACTCGAATGTTTCACGTTTAGATGTTCTTCGGCAATTTCTGTGGTGCCTCCAATTGCTTATGCGCATCTGTTGGCAGCACGCGTACGACTTTATCCAACTGGCGAATCACCCGAAGAAAAAGATTGTGGTGAATCGAGCAACTTAAGTGAAAGCGCATTTTCAGTTCCTCCAGTTTCCAAGGAATTAGCCAAAGTTATGTATTTTGTTTAGAAAGTGAGCTATTATTATAAATACTATCATATCGCTTCGGTACTTGTAATCTAGCATATTTTAGTTAATTAAATGCATTAATATTGTACAATTAAAAAAAAAAAAACTCCTAATTAATTAAAAAGTGCAATTTTGTAAGAAAAGGTTTGAGATTTTAAATTGTACCTGTAGCGAACTTGATAGTTAAAATTAGATCAAGCAAATGCAATATTTAACTATATTATAATAATAAATAAAATTGAAAAATTGAGGAATACAATTTCACATTGGAAAAATGCTTAGACATTCTTTTTTAAAGTTTGGCATTCAATAGGGTGGCTACATTTTATCGCAAGCAAATAAACACTTGTGAAGTTAAGCCGCTATTCCAGTAATACGATTTTATGTAAGGTGTTCGTAATGATAGAATTTAGCTGTAACAGAGTGTGTATACAGTAGCGGTCATAAGTATCCGACCGCCCGAGATCGTCCAAAATTATTATATAACTACCCCTTAAATTTTCCAG